TCATAATGCCATTATGAACAAAAGCATTGTAATCCTAGTGTTAAACTTTAACGTTTCCGGCATAAATTAACAGTTACGGCCTGCATAAACCAGCTTTTAACGTAGTCATAGACATAGTATATCTAGACCGAGCGTTTGCCTTTATTTAAGGAGTGGAGGTAAAGATGCATGTAGAAAAGAACATAGTCTGTTTCGTGCCCCTTGCGTTCTCTCTCACTCGCATGTAGCATAGCGAAAGAGTACGCTATGCTACGTGCGAGCGAGAGAGAACGCAAGGGGCACGAAACAGACTATGTTCTTTTCTACATGCATCTTTACCTCCACTCCTTAAATAAAGGCAAACGCTCGGTCTAGATATACTATGTCTATGCGTTAAGTACTGATTCTAAGCGTCTGCGTAGAGAGAAAAAGATAAACTCCGAACTAGTGCAGCCAGTTCAGCTATAAGTGCCGGTCTACAATAGTGATTTAAGCTCTAAGCCTTAAGAAATTGACTAATCACAGTCGAGTATTCTCCTCATACTTGATCGTGATTGGTCAATTTCTTAAGGCTTAGAGCTTAAATCACTATTGTAGACCGACACTAAAGAATAGACCTAAGGCCGATATTACATTTGTCGTACGACAAACTTTTTAAGCATATTGATTGGCTGCAAAATAGAAACTTTCTTGAGTCTCTAGAAATTAGCTAATCAATGCGCTTAAAAAGTTTGTCGTACGACAAATGTAATATCGGCCTAAGGGCCAATTTCACCAAGTCTGGTTAGATGAATCGACGGTTAAAATTAACAGGGTGGCCAACAGAAAATAGAGGTAGAGGAAAACCAAGCATTCATATCATTTCAGTTGGAACCCTGCTAATTTTAACCGTCGGTTCATCTAACCAGACTTGGTGAAATTGGCCCTAAGGGCCATATTACATTTGTCGTACGGAATTTAGGTTTACAGTCAGTACTTAATGTAACGTAAAGCCCGAATCACACTAGCGGCTTGCGGCCGCGACTGCGATTGCGTTTGTGATCGCGATTTGCTATGCTCCGATCATACTTGCAATTGGTGCTTTCTGATTGGCTGAAGCAATTGCAGTCGCGGCCGCGAGCCGCTAGTGTGATTCGGGCTTAACGTGTTATGGAAAAGCTTGTGCGGTGGCCCTTAGTGTATAGAAGTTTGCATTCTTGAAACGAGTTGGCAACACTGGTGGGATTTCTTAAAAACATTTTGTCCTCTGAGAGACGATAAAGAAAATTCGAAACAAAAGTATTAACAACGATGCTGCGATAAAGCTGGATAAAGCTAAAGAAACTTGTGAGTATGAATTGCGGAGTAGACTTGTTTATAATATTTATATCAGTACACGCATTTTTCTCTCCCAAATTTAGATCTATTATCAAAGAAGAATTATTATCAGAAATAGGCAGAAAAGAGGAAGCATTGAAATTTAAGCTCATTGTCTGTATGCATCACTGATTTGTAAGTAAAATACTTTTTTAAATGCTTCTCATTTCTTCGTCACACACAATATCGTTAATACATTACATCTTAATATATATTATGTGATTATAATAAAATATTATATTTTATATCCTATTACTTAATATTATATATAACAATAATTACTATTAAATTATTAGTGTTTTAAATACAGAAACTATAATTAATTTTATCTATGTTAGATATTTTTTTTTAATGTGATTCTTGTTGCGCATTTGTGTGTAGAGGATACACACACACACACATATATATATATATATATATATATATAGAACAACGAATCTCCGGCAACAACTTACGCTGGTAACGCTAACATCGAACAGTGCTTTCTATCGAGCTATCGATGATATGGTGCATCTTTTCTGCGGAGTTCGTTCAAGCATCAAATACGGTGATCAATCGTATCTGCGTAGATTATAGAAAGAGAGAAAAAAAATATATATATATATATATATATATATATATATATATATATATATATATATATATATATATATATATATATATACAGGATATTTTTCAATAAGTTTAAAAAATGAGTGATAACAGGTTAATCAAATTTTCTATATTCTTTATATGCATCGAAATTTTTCATTAGTATCAAAATATTGTGAATCTTTTACATGTGTGTGTGTGTGTCATATTATTTATAAATTAATAAAGAAGAAATAGTTTTTTAATAGGCTATATAATTTGCATATTATATATTTACTTGTAAAGAAGTTGCTTTATGAAACTTAAGATTTAATATTTAGTTTTTATAAGAATATGTTGAACTGAATTGTTTACAGGACTGATGACAAAAACTATGTCTCTAGTAACTAAATATATCACTGAGGATTGTCTAACGACATCAAAGCTAGAAGTAATCCACTATACTTGGACTATTGCTGATTTTGGGAAAATTTATGAATGTGCTGATGTGTATTCTAGCAAAATCAACAATTATTTTAGATTTTACATGTCTACTACAAAAGATGATTTGAAATTATATATTAATGATATACCAACTAAAAAGATTAAAGCTTCTTATTCTATTTGTTTGAAGACTAATAAAAGAAATATGACGTCGGTATCAAAATCGATGCATGAGATACGTACTAATGATCAGTTATGTATTATGTCTTTTTACCCACGTTATAATTTCACATTTTTATCTAATGAGATATTAATAATATACTTTATATTTGATATATATCATGATTTCTCTAACAGTAGTATACACCATTTATATTTCCCAACTGAGCAATTAAACAATATAAATATCGTTGTTCCTAATAAAGAATCTAACTCACTTGTTACATTTGTAATAAACAAAGAATGTCTTCAAGTGAATAAAGATTTACTATGTTCACACAGTGAAGTCTTTAAAGCTATGTTTCAATGTGGTTTAAAAGAAAGCGCAAACAATAAAATAGAAATAACTGATACAAGCTATAATATTCTAAAGCAATTATTATCCTTCTTACAAAATGGTTATATATCTCAAAATATTAAGACAAATGCAGTAGTACTATGTGAGCTTTTTATAACAGCTGAAAAATATGATATAAAAAATCTTAAATTAGTATGTGAACAATATTTAATTATGAATACAACAATAAACAATGTTATAAAACATTTAGAGATAGCATATTTAAATGGTGGACAAATTTTGAAAAACTATGCCATAAAGTTTATCAATTTACATTTTAAAGAGCTTGAAGATATCCTAGAATTTGAAACTTTAATGCAAAAGTATCCTAAGTTATTAACTGAAATAAAAGATGTTAAACAGTAAAACTAAGCAGCGCAAGATGTTAATTTAATGCATCATATGCATGAAATTTTTAAAAAGTTGGATATATAATTTTTATGTTATTTGTTCAAAATTTGCATTCATTGTATTCATGATAAGCTTTCTTAATTTATGGTATAATATTTCTATATATAGGGTGCTTTAAAATTCGAGGATAATAAGATTGCATAAAAGTTCATGAAGAATTAAATAATAATAGCGCCATTTTTTTATTTCAAAAACTATTTCCTGAAATAAAAAGTCGCAAATACCTCTGTTACTTAATTTTTTAGGAACATTTATATGCTGTAATTTTATTATCTTTGAATTTCAGAATATGTAATATATATTTAGTATTAAAATATATGTGTTTTTTATAGGTCTAAAACTGTTTTCAATTTTGTTTTAGAAAGATAGCATAAGTAAATGCCAAAAAATCTTAATTTTATTATATATATATAATAGCGCTCTTCATTATTATTTTACATCAGAATATATCTTATTTTTAGTTTTATAAATTATCTTGATATATTTTTTGTAAGTATTAATATAACTTTTATTTTAAAAATTATTAATCCAATGTAATACAAAGCAGAGATTAAATATATTTCTTATGTTCAGTTTATTTATTGTATGTTGTGATTATTATAAATATATGCCATTCTTAAATTAGCACATAATAGGGTATTATAAAAAAGTTATATAAATTTTATTTTTAATCAAAAGTATAAATTATAAAAACATTATTTCTAAACTTTTAAGATTTTCCACCAACAATAAATAATTTAAAATAAATAAAGATCATTAAAATTAAAAATTTTCACATGACTTGAAAACGCTTCGTTATTGGTTAGTTCGTGACATTACTTCGTTATTAAAATTTTGATTTAGTACAGAGAACTTATTTACAACAAGGAAATTATTTACGGTTTTACTTTTTTTAAAGAAAAGTAGTTATTAATGAACGAAGTCAAATGGAAGCAGGATATATTAAAGCAAAATCGACAAATCTATCAAAAATTGATGCGCTAATGGTGTGTCAATTTATAAGAGAAGCCTATCGCTTTAATGCTGCAGAAATGTAAAGAGTAAAAACATCTGCGTAAGTATATTACGTAACAAGAAATTCATTAATTTAATTAAGACTATAGGAATAAAATATTAAATATTAGCAATAGGAATAAATATTAAATATTAGAAATAGGAATAAATATTAAATATTAGAAATAGGAATAAATATTAAATATTAGAAATAGGAATAAATATTAAATATTAGAAAGAACAATTCGGAATTATATTTTACTTCAAATAAGAGAACGGAATATATTAACGCTTAATGAATTAAAAATTAGGAATAATTAATCCATCCCATTCTCTTGTTTGAAGTAAAATAATTCCAAATTGATCTTTCTGATATTTAATATTTATTACTATTTCTAATATTTTCTCTATTATGCGTAGGCCTTAGGCTAGATTAAATTGTGTATTTCGATATAAATATATCGATTGGAAGTATCAAAAAATTATTATTTTTTTTTATGAGAGGGTATTTAATGTGCTGTCAACTGCGAGTAATTATTTTTGAAAAATTATTCATATATGTATACTTTTATCTATGACAATGTGTGCACTGCCATTCAAAACTGCAGACAGCCTAATAGCGTTTTCGGACGTAGCAGGTTTAATCGCTCTGAGAGCGATTAATGACGTTATTGCATCGTCTCTGCCAATAAAAGGCTTGAATTCATAGTAAAATATAGTGATTAATTGAATCGGGTTGGGTTAACCCGTTAATCCGAAAACGCTATAAATTAGATCACATGACACTTTAGTTACGAGATCTTACGTTTGGCGCACTGCGGTCATTCGTGAAATTGCATGGTGACTAATGATTTCAAAATTCGTATGTTGTTACACGTGAAAGAAACGCGCGCGTCAAAGTAGTAGATAATTTTCAATAAACATGTATACCGTTAGTAAAGATTGTGTGTGCTACGCTAATGAAAGATATTAACTATATCTCTATTAGAGTAAATATAGAAATAGAATAGTTCTTTGAAGGAAGAGAAAAGAGATATATAATACAATGTAAGATATAAATCCCAAAATATTTTTAATTTATTACGCGTCTATTGTGAATCTCAACCGAAATCACGTATTTAGATCATTTTAGATAGAAAGTTAATTTCTCGTTTCAATTCTATGCGAGAAAACTGCAAGTTTTGTCGATAAAATACATAAGAGCATTTACGATATATTATCTTAATTGATTACTAAAGCGAAAGTATCATACTCTTATCGACAACAGTCGGAGCAATTTACTTATGCAAGCGAATTCGATTGGATTAGATGCACATTAAAGGTTATCGTACACAAATTTACAACATAAGCATAAATAATTAAAACATTAAAATAATTATAATAGTATGATTATTATAATAGTATGATTATTATATCATTATTCATATTGAACACCACCAATAACCCGAACAACACACATGTTCAAAGGATGTTCAAAAGATATTTTACAACTTCTGGGATGACCTCTAAACGTCTTTTGAACATGCGTGCTGTTAGGGAATAGCTCTCTTTAGTATTAATTATTTTACTTTTTTAATTACCTATGCCATCGTAAATTTGTGTACGATAACCTTCTTGTGCACTCAAGTGTATTTAACCAAATTCGTTCTAATTTTAATGTCAATTTTCGCGACAATCTCTAAACATAATCATAATGCACATATAGAGATGTAAAGAACCTATTTTTTTTAATAGGAAAAAACGTTTTTTTCATTGAAAAAGACAAATTTTGTTTTTTTTAAATTATTTTTTAAAATATAATATTATTTTTCTTTATATTTTTTTGTTAACATAACAAAAAAGTTCTTATATTCTTAATTAATTTTTTTTAAAAGTAATTTTAATGAATTAATGAGACATTTGTGGAAAATTATATCAAACTCGACATGATTCGGATAATTTTCAATTAGATATATAACAGAAATTTTTGTTAATTAAAAATAGTAATTACATAACTATATAGCCAATTGAAATGCAAGCTATTTAAAAGATTTAGAGATACTTAAAATAATAATAGTTAATTCAAATCTATCATTTAAAAAGTTAAAAATAATGAAAAATCAATTTGCAGTAATCAAAATAAAAAGATATTAAATATCTGAAAAAAAAAAACAACAGAACTTGTTGTTTTTTTTTCTATTTACATCTCTATACACATGTAAATACAATTGTCACGACAGATCGCGCGAAGTCTGATTGACAGCAACGCACCGAGACATCTAATCGCAGTGGACGCGACGAACGAGCTAAAACAGTCTGGCCGGCATCGGCGCCGTGGGTGGGAGTCTCTCTCCGGCCGTCGAGAGCCGCAAGTGAGTGAAGAGACTACCCGAAAGAACCGCGCTCTCCACTCAGTCTGTCCGCGGCCGTCCGTCAAGCAGACTTCTCCGGCTCCCTCTGTTTCCCTCCCGGCCGTGCCCGTCGTTCTTCCTGTCGCGGTCTCGAAGGTCTCGCGGAAGACACATGTCGTCGGCTGGTGCAGCTGCTACCGGCTGTCGTACGCGCGTTAACGCGTTAATATAGATCCACGATCGTTAAGTCCGATAACGTCGTGTCGCGTGTGCATTTTTTTTTTTTTTGGTTTACGCGATCGCGATACTCGTATATGTATATGAAAGTGACTCGGCACGCGGTGACAGAGTGTTCATAGTGCACCCAGTGATACGACAGTCAAGATGTGCTTGAGAAGATTTCTCTGGAGCCTCTTTATCGGGCTCGTGGCCGTTATATTGTCACCCCGGCACGTCGTCGACGGCTTTAATGTGGAGACGAAACACTACGCGGTGTATCGCATGGAAGAGAAATCTATGTTCGGCTTCGCCGTGTCAACGTATCGTGATAAATTCGCCAGGGGATGGTGAGTTTTTTTCTTTTATTATTGTAAATAGTCTCTCTGAAAATGATGAAATAATCACGCTGCCCGTATATAGTTTCGCTCGAAGTTACCGTCAATAAATGAAATGAAATTACATGTTTGGAATTCACGCTGTTATTATATTTACAATATGTGTGATGATACAAGGACATATTATAATCAGATGGAGTATATTTGAAAAAATATAAATAGCAAAAAAATTGAGACGAAAAATTTGATTATCGATTACTATGTGTCATGAAACGAATCTTATTCATCGGTCTTAAAGAAGCGTAGTCGTAATCCGATGACACATAGGATATCCTAGAAGAAGGGGTACCATATATTACATTATCACACCTTCTTGTTTACATATATACTACCGTAACTAATCAGATATTCTTCAATTTTTTGGAATATACTAAAACTAATATATTATATCTATTATATTAAAATTTATATATTATTATTATTATTTATGTATTATAGATTATATATTAAAATTGATGCAGAAAAACTCTTTATAAAAATTGTTAGACATTCGGAAAATAATTTGTCATTATATTTTACATTCTATCTTTTATGCAATTTTGACATAAAATTTCTATAGACAAATTATTGTCACGTATATGATACAATTCTAATATTATAGAATAGAAAATGACGAATTTTTTTTTCATACGCAAATATAATTTCCTCTTTTAACTCGTTAGCCAGGTGTTTGACTCGGCGCTCGATTACCATCATTGACTCACCCGGCTATCGCGAAATAAAAAATCATCATGTTGGATATTTTAAATTCCTGTCTTGAATTTTTCCTAGATGATCATTAAATAATAAAATTTTACGGTCGCGCCTTTTTTTATAAAAACAAGTAACAATCGTGTCCGCGCTTTACACATGAAAAATATTAAATAAAAACTTATAATATTAATTAATTATTTTTCATTATGAAATAAATGGTCACACATTACGAGGTAGAACGATAACCCCGCCATTTAAGATATCACCGAGCAGGATAAGGGCCTTGGGTTTCATCTCAGACTTTAATAACGAGCGATAATCCTTCATCACGGATAAGTATAAGCTTCAGGGACACTTTAGTACGGTTACAACCCTTAAAAAGCGTCGCGACTCTTCTGCTGCGTCGCGATCCGCGTAAACGGGGAGACGCTCGTTCTCGAATTTCGTGACTCACGCCCACGAATAAACGTTTCTGCTCCAGCTCTCGCGCGTCTCTCGGCGACGATTATAAATAATATCGGTGAAACGGGGATACGCGGCTAATAGCGCACGCAGCCCGCATCGTCAGAATCGGCGGGAAAATCAGCGTCGACCCGAACGGTGGCATAATGGAATATTGTGTCTAAGATCGCTTGTGCACGTTCACAGGCGATCAGCGATTAGCTGGGAGCCAGATGAGCCTATTATAATAGCACAATAATTTTCGGAATTAGAAACAATATTTTATTTTATTATTATTTTTTTTTTTTTTTTTTTAAGAGTTTTCCAATTTAATGTATTTTTTTTTAAAGAGAAAAATTAATTTAATATATTTAATATATTGTTCGT